CCCAGAGCGATTTTTCAAATTTATTTTGTTCACTCGAAGCAAAGAAATCAGCTAGAATTTAGCCAGAGCAGTGTCGACGAACTATGCTTGAGTTTGCGGCCTCCCGCTTTGCTGCATCTGAGGCTGAGGTCGACGTCTTCACTAGAGTTTGAGGCAGACCGTTCAGCACTCAACAAGATGCTAAACAAGACGCGCATTCAAATTCAAGTCATGAAACTTCGTTTTCAAGTGATCCATGCCTTCAGGTGGCAGGTGATGACGTCAAACTAGCATTTTTGAAGTACACAGTAACGACCTTCCAGCAGGATAGGGTAAGCAGTGCAACTTCTTTCCTTGACAAGCGCTTCCCTGATTTTGTTGGTGTTTTTAGACCTGCTACCTTCGCAGCAACATGCGCCACGCGTAGAGTTTTTGTTTAGGGATTGGAGAACACTTTGTTCTTGCCATCGTCAACTTCAGCATTTCGAATTCAGGAGAGATACCAAGAGTCTTATACCGGGGCTTGCAGTCTTGACAAATGCCCACGCGAACAATGTGGGCCGGCAAGAATTCCAGAAAAAAAGATACCCGCTCTTGGGCGAAATAGCGTGGAGCGGGATTAATCTGTTTGGTGCGGAAGAGAGCTCCGAGACCACTACAGCTTCCGTAACAAGTAGACATTGCATTGGAAGGGTCGTACCAATGTTCGAACACAGAAAACTGTGATTCCGACAGTCCGACTAAGACGAGCAAGTCACAAACATGTTGAAACATTGCGATGTGCGAAGCGACAATTGTAATGACGCGAAGGAAGTACATGATTGTATACTATTGGTAGTGTGAAGTGCAGTGTGCGATGGCTTGCAGAAAAGTCTATTCATTTGTGTGCACTCCTTTGCTTATAACTGCAGGATGCAAAGGGTGGTGCAGTTAAATCACATGCCAAAGGTCATGGAGGCAAAGAGTGCCCAGCCTGGAGAAAGCTAGAAGCTTCTCAGGGATAAAAGTAGGAGAAAGTAGCATGGAAAGTGACTTACCTGAAGAGTTTGGCTAACTAAAACAAAAACAAACAATGCACGGGTTCGGCTAGCAGCCACAACCAAAAGATGACAGTATGTACAGATTAAGAATATGTTACAGTGGACATGGGCAACTTATATTGAGAGAGGTGCATGTATGTTAAATTGCATGTGTGTCATAATTACTCATAAATAGCTACACAACTCTGAACAGCTACTGATACAATAGCACTACACTGCTTGTAGGTGCCACATTCAAAGGCCGTGCCCGTCCATTGATTGCCCATTATCGCCGGCCGGAGGTGTACTGTTTTCTGCACACACACACTCATCGTGTTGTTCCTCACACGAAAAGTTCAAAACAATGACGTTACGTACTCTCGTGCTCACAAAATAAAACTAGATCCTCGTGGAAGAAGTCAAAAAGGTGAAAGCTCGGCTGCTTTTTATTTTGATTTGGCTGTGTAGTTGCACGTGGGTCTCTGCCTCTTTAGCATTCTCCTTCTGTACAACGTACCCATCTGTGTTCGAGTTCAGAAGGGACACGTGCACCGTACATCGGAACAGCTAGCTCGATCGACCAGCACACGGGCTTGACTTCGTTTTTGACGACGACTGTATGCGTGGAGGTCAAGTCCGGCATGACGTCACTCGGTACTTGCGGACAATTTTACACCTTCTTTTCAAGTTTTCAACCACTTCCAGTCATCGCAAGGAAGAATGAAGTACTAGTACACCATCATGATCAGGAGCCAAAAGACTACAAGACAAGGCAAAGAAAATTTTGGTGACAGTTCCCCTTTAACGGAGGAAGTGGTCCTCATGTGTATTTTTTGCCTGTTTGTGTGTGTGTGTGTGTGTGTGTGTGTGTGTGTGTGTGTGTGTGTGTATATGTGTGTGTCTGCTTGCTTGTGTGCTAAGTTTTCTGACAACCCAACATACCCTAAATTGATGTCACGATTGCAAGCTCTCAATCCAGCTGAAGTAAGTGCAGTGCAAGAAATGCATGATTGTAGCTTTGATAATTTCAGTGTCTCACATGTAACCTAATGTATGCAGATACTCGTAGGAGAAGTTAGTCAACAGGTCATGTGCCCACTGTAGTTGAAGTGTCTCAGCTAGAGACGGTGGGTTCAGTTTATTCTACGATCGGAATGCATGGAGACTGGAAGAAGACAAACTACAAGTAACAAGTAAGTGTGTCAACGGAACAAGGTAACGCGTGTATCAGTACAAAAATGGCAGCCATACTAAAATATCTGCGCAGGGCGTGACGTCAATATGATAGTAACGACGTAAGGAATATCCATGAATGTACATCAGTATCAGCACATATACTACATTTCCTCCCCTACATGTATACTAGGGTTGGTACCCGTATCCCGTAGTGACACGCATTAAAGTCCATGTGCCTACATCTGGGCATAAGCGCACCCTCACATATAAGCACATGGGCTTTTCTAAGTGAATCCAATCCCGCGACACACTGATGCCACAATGATACCATCTTTACAGGATTTAATGTGCAATTTCCAAATTCCATACTAATAACTCAATTACAAGCGCATGCGCCTATAATTATGTGAGGCGAATCGATCTCTAAAATGCCATGCTAAACACAAATGCTTGTTGTGACAGTTTACATGGAATGGGAAGCTACAGGATGAAATATTCACTGCGCCATGTGGTGTTAGACAGAGTTTAAGAATGACGAACGAAGAACTACGTTCCAAGCAGTGTGCGAACACAAAAGGAAAGTGTGTACGAATGCATCAGGAAGCAGGAGCTCTAGGCACATGCATACTGGGTTGCAGGAGTTGTACCAAATACAAGGGGAGTATGCCATATACATCAGCAGCTTGAACACTGGGTGTCGGAACACTAGCCGGCGAATGAGCCGTCAGAAGAAACAAACTGTGATTTGGCTCTGCCTGTGCTTAGGCGAACGGCAAAGGCGGTGTACTCACTGGTACGGTTGAGTGCGGAGCAGAGTTGGCTGAGTGGAGCTGTTCCACATGGCGCCTCCATTGTAGGTCAGGGCCAACTGCCACTGTGTAGTGACTGGCGCCATGCACACCCTGAACTGTGCCATGAATCCATGGGTGTGGTGCGCGGGTGCGGTAGTCTCCGACTGAATCGCATTCAGTATTGAATCCACTCTTCTTCTTGAATACTCTCGTCTTCACAGTCTGCATTCTCATGCTCGGGCAGGTAGTTCTCATTACCAATAGCCGTTGCATCCGGTAGTGCTAATTCATGCTAGGATCACGTGAATCTTCTTTCCCTACAGATCCTGCTGCCAAACACAGCGACTGACAGGGGCAACATGTCGGCTCTTTTCAAAATCCTGTCTGAGCAGTTTCCCCATGCGTCAATGACCACTGTGCAGCGTAAACACTTCAATGAAACCAAAGGTTAGGACTATAAATTAATGTTTACACTACAGGATGCTAATGTGTTATGTGTAGCGGGTGTTCCTTTTCTTTCTGAGCCCAGAAATGGGGTCACATTTTGAAATCCACCCATAGCCGTGATTAATGCAGAATGTACACAGTCATATTCAGGAAGAACAAGATGTCGTATGGTCTAGCCAAGATGGCTAATACAGGCAGACATGCTGAGAATTCACAGTACACAAAGATGACCACTTTTCTATTCAAGAGTCCCTCTATTAAAGAGGAACTCCGGTCCAAAATCACCCCCATTTTTTATTGCGGAATCCATTAGAGTATGTCGTAAGTGGTAGAATGGCGAAAATCGGAAGCTTTTTCGACAAGGATAACATACCTAAATTACCAATTGCAATTTTCCATATTTGGCACGAGGGGCCCCCTCCCACCCTGTGACGTAAAACGTTCTCAGCCCGGTCCACTCAGATGAAATTTTCAAATAATTGAAGCAAGAATGAAAAGTCCTTGGCCATTGTTGAAGTGCTTGTTGTTCTGTGCCATGCCCGATTTATTGTCACAACTCGCTGCTGCGTCTCTGGATGCAACAATGTCACGAAGAAAGAGGCGCCTGCGGGCTGTCGTAGCATGGCTTTCCTCTGGCTGACGCGAACCTGACGACAGCTTGGCTATGGAGAGTATGTTGGAAGGATTTTTCTCCGACGAAAAATAATCGTGTCTGCACTGAGCATTTCACTGAGATGTGCTATGAAAGAGATTTCCAACAAGAGTTTGCACAAAGCATTGGTGGCTATAAGCAGAAGCAGCAGCGACGCTTGAAGCCAGGGTCTCTGCCATCCTGAAACTTGGCGGTGCATGTCATACTAATAGTTAGTAGCTCCTCTACCTCTGCTGCCAGCAAAAGCAGACCATCTTCGATTTACTTCCAGGAACGTGAGCACGATGAGGTAAGTGAACGGCATGATTTTGTGCCGTCCAGAACGTAGCTCTAAACGACTACAGTCCTACTCAAAGTCCTCTACTCAAAATCCTAGTCAGTGAAGTCGAGAATTGATGTAATGTACATGGAACGTTATCATGTGTGTTATTTCGGTTCTCTTTATCTGTAAGTTTCCATTGCGTTACTTTCCGGTTGCAGCTACACTGCCACAAATACAAGGTACAGTATGATTTGTAGTCTGGAAATTTTCCATGCTGTCATACTGAAGTGGGCACCAAAACGTGTCCACTTTTCGTACAATGGCATGAGAGCACGGGTACAGTCGGCATGTCTGTCCCACAATGCCAATATAGGGAGAGCGCACGCCAAAACCAAGGAGGGTGTGCTCAGGTACAGGCTGGAATACACCAAGAGCACAAAGTGGCCAAGAAGCTGCACGACAATGTCCTGCAACTTCTTGAAGGACCTGTTGAACGATGTGCATACAACCATTCTCGGCATTCGCAACGGCACACGGCACCGGCACAACCCCATGCTCCCGAACACAGTACAGTCTTGTGCCATTGTATCTGTCAACTTTACCAGATTGTTCATGCAGCTGCATTGGTGCAAAGCATGCACCCACCCGAAAACACAAATATTGCCCGAGTCAAGAATAGTTATAAATCGTGTCTGTCAACTGTTTTCTACATTCTGCATGCACATGTACCAATGATTATGTGAACGTCAAGCAGGCCAAGAAGCACTATCATCATCATCATCATCATGTCCAACTGCTTCCTCAAAGCCCCTGTAACGGAATCTCAGCCATTCCGTTCCCCGGGACGCAGGACACAAAGGACAAGACTGGTTTGTATTACATTATTTATATTGTCAAGACGGAAATGGAGACAACACTCAAAAGGACGAACAAGAAGCCTGACAAAAGGACTCTCGACTACAAAATCGCGCATGCTCATATCACACATGCACGCGACTAGACGAGACAGTTTGGGGAATGCCATCACACAGGAAAACAACACATCATTTCACAACACCTGCCCCCTTGATGACATTCCACAAAATAATAAACCGACACCACGTTCCACATGCACAACAGCAAAAGGAACCACAGCAGAACAGAAAAACGAAAACCAACCAACAGCTTACATTGTAGCACAACAAAACTGGGCCACGACACAGGGCCAAACCAAGACACAAGAGCCGACGCTCTCAACTCAGGCACACAAGGCCAATCGAAACACGAGAGCCAAAGCTCCAACTAATAACAACCTGCGCGCAGCAGCGCAAAATAAATCTACAATGCAAATTAATGCAGAACAGAACGACGAGAAGAGCAACATACCGACAACCAAACTGAACAACACAGCAACGAACTGAACAGCGAGAGAAATACGATCAGGCAACACAGCGAGCAAGACAACAACAAGACGAACAACAAAGGACGACACACAGTCGGTGATGCCAGACTCATCCACTGGCCTCTGGCGAGCCACGGCCACACGCTCCATGCGGTACCTGCCGTCCCAGGCTCCAGTCCCCAGCTTCTGCCGGTCCACCACCTTCTCTGCCTCCTCTCCGCGTCTTCTTCCGCTTCCACCAGCTCCTCGTCTCTCCTCCATCCCCACGCTTACTCTCTAGTTGTACTATCACTTGTATTAGTTGTTGACGACGACGAACAGACTCATGACAAACTTACTCATCCTCTGCGTCCCGGGTTTCGGCACCACGCTGTAACGGAATCTCAGCCATTCCGTTCCCCGGGACGCAGGACACAAAGGACAAGACTGGTTTGTATTACATTATTTATATTGTCAAGACGGAAATGGAGACAACACTCAAAAGGACGAACAAGAAGACTGACAAAAGGACTCTCGACTACAAAATCGCGCATGCTCATATCACACATGCACGCGACTAGACGAGACAGTTTGGGGAATGCCATCACACAGGAAAACAACACATCATTTCACAACACCCCAGTGCGCATCTGCATTGGCTTCTGGTACAGCTGCTTTATCTTCGATACCACGCAAGACGGTATCACACGCCGCTGCTTGCGTCCAAGTATCCATGGGTGAACCATGTGTATTGTCTATACGCCACATGTCTCCAAATCCTGCACAAAACAGTTGGAGAGATGTAGATACACATACCACGAGTGTCTTCATGATTGTGTAAAAGTAAATAGTTTCAGTGTAAATACAAGTAGTTTCGGATTCGAATTAATATTTCTATGGGCTACTATACAAACACTTTGGCCTTTTTTCAAATTTACATCATTTTTACACACAGTTGAAACACTTACAGTGCTAGGAATAGTATGACTGAAAGACATCGTTGTACCAGTATAATTATATTGGCATGGGTGCAATAGAACTTCATGATTGTGTGATGAAAGTTGGTGAATTTGAATACTGTACACAAAATCATTGCACAACACTTCCCATCCACTTTGTACCGGTACATGACACATGGAAAGAAAGGAAATAATGAAACCGATTCAGTGAATCCTCACCTGTTTGACCACGGTCCACACCTTGCCCGAAATTCTTCGAAGGAAAGCAATGCCACCTCGAGCACTGATTTTTGCAGGCAAACAACAGCAAACTCTGAGTGCTGCGTGACGCACTGCAGCCCTTCCTGCTCGCCGCGTTTACTGAAAGCTGCAGGAACCTCCCAGCAACAAGTCGACTCGACCTCGCTCCACAGCATGCTGCATTGTCCGCAACGGCATCAAGCAGTGCTTCTCACGCGAGCACTTGCAACCAAAGCGTTCTCTTCACGTTCATCTGTTTTGTAGTCTCAGAAATATTACTTGTAGACAGTTTCGCAGACGCTGATGAGCGCTTCGGCTCGAACCTAAAAGGCCTCGGTGTTCTTGAATCTGAAGTGGCGTCCACCTCCACACCTCCCGTGGTCTCCTCTTCCTCCAACATGATGATCGAATGAATACTAGTACAAGGGTTATTGATTGAAGAAAAAATAGTGAATACCTTTTTTCAAAATTTCTGCAGGTCTACCATTTGAATAAAACAATTTGGAGGTCACTGAGAACGTTTTACGTCACAGGGTGGGCGGGGGCCCACTCGTGCCAAATATGGAAAATTGCAATTGGTAATTTAGGTATGTTATCCCTGTCGTAGAAGCTTCCGGTTTTCGCCATTCTACCACTTACGACATACTCTAATGGATTCCGCAATAAAAAATGGGGGTGATTTTGGACCGGAGTTCCCCTTTAAAGGGGAACTGTCACCAAAAATTTTCTTTGTCTTATCTTGTAGTTCTTTGGCTCCTGATCACGATGGTGTTATTCGTTTTTCTCTGCGATGACTGGAAGTGGGTGAAAACTTGAAAAGAAGGTGCCCAAAATTGTCCCGAAGTACCGGGTGACGTCACGCCGGACTTGACCTCCACGCGTACATTCATCGTCAAAAACGAAGTCCAGCCCGTGTGCTCGTCGATCGAGCCAACTGTTCGATGTACGGTGCACGCTTGCCTTCTGAACTCGGACACTCGATGTGTACTGTTGTACACAATGAGAACGCCAAAAAGGGACAAAATAAACAAAAGTCGACTGCAGTTTGTCGCACTGGTACTTCCTCCACGACGCTCCAGCTCTTTGTTTTATTTGTGATTACGAAGGAGTGGAAGGATGTTTGTTTGCTGTTAGTGTGACACACATACCTCGTACTTGAAAATTATGTCGTTGTATCGAAGGTGGCGATGTTGCCCACCCGGCTCTGAAATGAAAGACGTCGGAGTTCGTCATCTGCATCTTCAGCAACATCGCCAGATGAATCGCCTTCACGTAACTACATTGCGTTCCTTTGGGGCTCGGGTTGGTGGTGTTATCGCCGGCCGGATGAGTATTGTTTTCTGCATACGCACTCATCATCGTGTTGTTCCTCACACGAAAAGTTCAAAACAACGACGTACTTCCGTGCTCACAAAATAAAACTTAGATCTTCGCGGAAGAAGTCAAAAAGGTGAAAGCTCAGCTGCTTTTTATTTTGATTTGGCTGTGTAGCTGCACGTGGGTCTCTGCCTCTTTGGCATTCTCCTTCGGTACGACGTACCCATCTGTGTTACAGTTCAAAAGGCACACGTGCACCGTACATTGGAACAGCTAGCTCGATCGACGAGCACACGGGCTGGACTTCGTTTTTGACGATGAATGTACGCGTGGAGGTCAAGTCCGGCGTGACGTCACTCGGTACTTCGGGACAATTTTCGGCACCTTCTTTTCAAGTTTTCACCCACTTCCAGCCATCGCAGAGAAAAACGGATCACACCATCGTGATCAGGAGCCAAAGAACTACAAGATAAGACAAAGAAAATTTTTGGTGACAGTTCCCCTTTAAGGTGTGTAAGTGATGTCGTCAAACCCTGACCAACTGATATCCCCTTGGATTACGCCAAGACCAAGCACACGCGAAAGAGTCTCTTACTAGATGACGGGACGAACGACAAAGAGAGGAGACAAGGCAACAGAATATGAGCCAGGGACTACAGAAACCACCCTATGGCACTTTTTTGGCGAAAATTTTTTTTCTCTCTCAAAATGTTGGTATGGTATGGTAATGTGCTCAAACAAAATTTCGAGTTGATCTGCGGTGGTAAAATGTGCCTAATCACCTATTTAATAATGGCATATCAATTAAGCGATATAGAGCAAATTTATGTACACAGTTTTGTAATGTTCTTTGTATATCTTCATTCTTGCTAGTTAGGCAGTTCAAATGGATAGTGAACTATGCCCTCAGCTTCATCCAGTGACGCCTGCGCGCCGTCCACTAAATCTCGGTAGTACTGCCGCGCCTCTTGTGCTAGTGATATGTGCGAACGCAGGGCCTGGACACTACATTCCGTCTCTTCCTCTGTACGGGCGACACGAATTTTGTCCCGCAGAGTGTCACACAGTGCGCATACGTCTGTCCTTGGCTTCATCACTTTGATGTGTGCTGCCTGTCTCCTCCAAATGTGGCAAATTGACCTGTAATGAACAGGCGAATACTGTGTGATGGTCTTGGTTTAGATGTTGTATGCAGACTTCTTGTTCTTGGATGCTGGTAAGTATACTGGAGGGTCCTCAGCACGACCTCGCTCCGGGTTGAGGTAGACCGTACATGTTAGCATATGACTAAATAGACTGCACTACATCCTGCTCTATGTCTGCTGAAATGGCCAAGTGCTCTGGTGTTCTCCCAGTCAAGCCATGGTGTGCCAGTTGAACGACTCTTTTGTTGGCCTTTTTGAAGGCGCTTCATTACATGACTTCCAACAGCATGAACTGCCATGAACACGTCTTTGCACAGCTCGTAACCACGTACATGGTAGCGGAAATAGAAAGGTCGATCACCACCACAAGTCATCGACTTTCGCATGCTTCCAGTCAGTGCGCCCAGAACAAACTACTTGAAGCGCTTTTTCGATTCTCGCAGTTTAGAGACTTCAAATATGCAGTCCTCGAGCTGCTGCTCTGGGCCGGGATGACTTTCCAATGATTCTTCGACTTGCATCCACAGCCTCTCTTCGCGTATATCTGAAGACAGGAGATCACGCTTCACCTGCTCCATCGTCGGTGGCTCAGGTGCGGGGGCATCTGGTTCGTCATCCAATTCCGAGTAGTCGGTGTCACTCTCCGCGTTTGAAATTTCCGAGCTGTCGGGGCTTGGCGTTTTCGACACAACACTAGCAGCACTCGTCTCGAGCTTGCTGTGACTCCATACGTCTTCTTCTTAGGTGGCATATCATCGCCGTCGCTGTCAGCATCGGTGTCGGAATCGCTCGCGGACGACTCGCGGGTGCCAGCGCTGAATCCGTAAAAATTCTCGTCGTCCGATTCAAGCGCCTTCGCATCAGAGACTAGTCGACTCCACACAGAATCGAGCTGTGTCGTCTACTAGATGTTGTAGCCATAATCAATCACAGTAAGTGGAGCCTCATGAGTTACTCGACAATCGCTCGAGCTCGGAATCCTTCCCCGAACATCTAACAAGAGGACAGCTCATGGAGTCTTGTCAAAACAAAAGTGACGAGTTCTGCGCTTCGCGTAACTTTGAGTCGCGTGACTTTGAAACGTCATAACTTGATTTTGATATCAAACGTCGTAGGGCGGTTTCTATAGTCCCTGGCTCATATATTGAGGGAAAGTGTGAGAAAAGTGAGACCAAGGAAACAAAAGTAGTGCACTCGTATAATATACGATGGATCCAGAGTGGGAAGGAAAGCCAAGACAGCAGACAGACCAATATAATGACATCCAAATGGGAACAAGTGCAAGAAATGCATATTACAGGGACCAAAGACGGCGCAGCAGCACTACCAGCGAGCGCCTAAGGCTCAATACGTTTAAATAGGGAACCCAAGTGGGCCGCACGGAAAACAGAAATACGCATGAGATGGTGTCCTGATAGACTTCATTGCTAATGTCAACACGAGAGTGACTAACCTATTGTTCTAAACGTGAAATAACTCAAATAAGTCTGTGCCTGTGCTGGCAAGGTGCCTACAAGGACAGTTTCCATTGTTATCTATTTCAGACCACATTTTTTTCCGATTTGTGCAGGTTTACAGCACATCAAGCAATTGTGTGCATCTGATTTTCACACTGCACTGTTGGAAATTACTGGGAAGTAAGTTGAGATCAGTTTGCTCTCAGTCATACCAAGAGTACATGAAAACAAAAGTGTGCAGCTCGGATGGGTTGCTGTCACGGCGGAATTCCGTGATTACATCATTTTAGTGATGTAGTGCGTACAAGCAGGATTCAAGCAGGTCTCTTTCTGCACAACTGCAGCTCAGTTGTACGCACTACGCCACTTCCCGCCTCAAATCTGCGCCGAATATGATGTTATCACGGAATTCCGCCGTGACAGACCCCCAAAGTAGAAAATGCCCCAAGCTGCACACTCTGGTTTTCATGTACTCTTGGTCATAGCAAGAGCACATAAACCAGAGTGTGCAACTCCGCATTTATGCTGCGTAAAACCGATCTCCCGGCGAAGTTTTTTGTTAAGGTCATCGTGAATCATACCGAAGGTTCAGTGCTAATTCACCGTATCGCTAAGGTGATAGCATGAAAAGAACGTGCATATTTCACCTTTGGTACGACATCAGCAATGCGCAACAGAAATTATCTTGGTGATACGGTAAAATGACCGTGTGAACTGGTGTGAGATGCAGCAAGGGTGACTCACTATGACCTAAGCAAAAACACTTTGGTGTTTGATTATTGTCCCGGAGCTGCACACTGCGGTGATTTATGTGCTCTTGGTCCTAGTCCTAGTGGTCCTAGTCCTAGTGGTCCTAGTCCTAGTGGTCATAGTCCTAGTGGTCATAGTCCTAGTGGTCATAGTCCTAGTGGTCCTAGTCCTAGTGGTCCTAGTCCTAGTGGTCCTAGTCCTAGTGGTCCTAGTCCTAGTGGTCCTAGTCCTAGTGGTCCTAGTCCTAGTGGTCATAGTCCTAGTGGTCATAGTCCTAGTGGTCATAGTCCTAGTGGTCCTAGTCCTAGTGGTCCTAGTCCTAGTGGTCCTAGTCCTAGTGGTCCTAGTCCTAGTGGTCATAGTCCTAGTGGTCCTAGTCCTAGTGGTCATAGTCCTAGTGGTCCTAATCCTAGTGGTCCTAGTCCTAGTGGTCCTAGTCCTAGTGGTCCTAGTCCTAGTGGTCCTAGTCCTAGTGGTCATAGTCCTAGTGGTCCTAGTCCTAGTGGTCATAGTCCTAGTGGTCATAGTCCTAGTGGTCCTAGTCCTAGTGGTCATAGTCCTAGTGGTCCTAGTCCTAGTGGTCATAGTCCTAGTGGTCATAGTCCTAGTGGTGCATTATACAGTACTGTTGGGTGTCGGAGAACTGGAGGGTCAGCCTTCTACTGAGTCCTAGCCTAGGCCATTCTTATTTACATGTACTACAGTCTATGCACAGTTGAGTTTCCGTGAATACATTGGTATGCTGTACTTGGTGAAATCCTAGCCTGTTTGTCCTCGCCACCCGGCAGTACTCTAGTCCTTTTCAAAACAAAGTTAATCTACATGTCCCGTACTGACTAGCTGGGATTTGAATGTGCAAATTCCCCAAAAATTCCAAGAGAAATATCACAGTTCAATGTGCCTATGTACCTTGCGAACACAGATATCTCCCAGCAGGACGTGTTATATGAGTAGGAAACCACCTAAGCTAGCATGTACCGTAATCTTGCACATATAAGACCATGGTCTTATAATCGAAAAGTCGCTGTTTTCGGTCCTTTCACAAGTGCATTTCGTTCGATTATAAGGCCATGGTCTTACATGTATATGCGAGAGACAAACATCGCATCGACATGTACATGTGCAAGTACGCATATTGTTATTCAAGGTTAATGCCAGTACAATGGAACCATGATGAACCTCGTGTGGTTTTGTGATTTTCATTCACTTATAAGTGCATGTTCTTATAAGCGAGAGTGCTCTTATATTCGAAGATAAGAACATTTCCTTAAATGCGCGAGATTACGGTACATGAATGCACACAGTATAGTTCGTGTCGTATGATAAGTTTTACCGGTATGTTGAGTCATAAAACGCTCCCATAGCTCCGAGACACACACACCACAAGTTTCATGAACGAGGTAGGTTGGGGGAAGACATGTATTGAGAGAGAGAGAGAGAGAGAGAGAGAGAGAGAGTGTGTGTGTGTGTGTGTGTGTATGTGTGTGTGTGTGTGCGTGTGTGTGTGTGCGTGTGCGTGCGTGTGTGTGTGTCCGCATGTTCCGTCGAAGCGGCGACCTGAAACGCCATCAGTCATTCTGTCGTGGACTGGAGAAATAACAATGCGCTTTCATTGCTACGCAATGGGCAAGGTCAAGGTCAAGGTGTGTGTGTGTGCATGTGTGTGTGTGTGTGTGTGTGTGTGTGTGTGTGTGTGTGTGTGTGTGTGTGCATGCGCGTGTGTGTGTGCGTGCTAGATAAAGGGCCTGGGTAGCTATGGCAAATATGGGTGCACAAGCAGCTGACCAGGCCAACGGAACAAAAGGTGTCATATGGGAACGCGTGAAGGTGCGGGGTGCGGGCCAGCTGGAGAAAGGGTGTACAAGGAAATGCACAGGAGGTGGGCACGGGAGATTGACTTCTTGGAAAGGCCTCAACGAGAGAAAGATAAGTGTAGTCAACCATGATAGTCAGCATACTGTATCCCCAACGCTGGGGAGCAGTGATGTCACGAAACATGCCCCAAATTCGTCCAATTGCGTCCTGCTCCGGCCATTTCAGTTTCCTTGATCGCTGTGTTCTGATTTTTCGCTGTGTACTCTTGAGACTATCACTAGTAAAACCTGTGCAAATTTGAGTAAATCAGCGTGACGAAAAGTCTCAAAATTCTCATTACTCGAGTCTTGAAGTTGCCGCGACCGCAGTTCAACTTTTCAACTTACAAGCAAACCATTGTTTGCGGTGCTTCCTGGAATGTTTCCAGCGACAGCGAAGAGTTTTTTCTTTGACCTGGATATCTTGATTGTTGAATTGTGGACTGATCAGCGTAGCACAGAGAAAATGAGGCCGAACCTGATAGCAATGAAAATAAATTTTCCAAAGCCAGATTTAAACCAGGCCCAAACGTACCTTGCCAGAGTGCTCAAACTGACAAGTCAGTCAGCTCTGCATAACGCAAACAATAAAGGCACTACCCCAAATGAGAGTGCTCAACTACTACAAGAGCAGGAGCAAAATACTGATATTATGTTCCACACACTTGAGCTCGCGATTTTAATATTATGTAACTCAACCCAACATGTTTTCTGATCACTGATCAAGTACAGTACATGTGTGTGATTCCCTTGTGTAGGTACTATTGTTTAGCTACCGCTGCAGTAAGTAAATCAAACAACAGCATTTTATGTCTTTCTTTGCTGTCTCTGTTGTTTAAGAAATATTTGAAGTGAACTCGCTCAATTAATTCAATGCTTTTCTGACCACATTTTCTATGGATATAAGGCCATCATTTTTTATATCTATGTTTCGCGTCAGTTCAACTTCCAGAATCATATGCGAGAGGTGGAAAAAAATAAAAAATTGCAAAATAATAAAAAATGGCTCATAAGGTATAGCACTGTACATAGCACAATACCTTGTGCATGGTGTGCATTCGAAAGAAAAATCCTACATCCAAGCACAACATCTGGGTTATCAGCGTGAGTAAATATTTACTTTGAACAGAGGAGGCAACCATTGGTGCCCATGCTTCGCTGGATTATTGTACTCAGACTTCAGCAGCAGTGCAAAGAGGTCCGGAGCGACACATCCTCTCAGCTTGAGGCGAGCGATGCGGTCTGGTGTAAGCTCATAGAATACTGCTCGCAGATGCCAAACAAACGATTTACCAACGCTGGCTTCGAGGCCATTTCTGAATCCCAGCTTCGCCGTATGCAACCAGTCGACACTGATGATTCGCACAATCGTACTCACTGTAGCGTGCATGTTCGATTTTTTTTATTTTTTTCCGAAAAAAGGCAAAACGTATGCGTGCGGACGATGCGAAACATAGATACAAAAAATGATGGCCTAAGAAACACTGCTCTGTAGCCACTTGGTTTTGTGAGTGGCAAACTGAATCTGAAGACATGTCTAAACATTACCTAACAAATGCTGGCCACTGTTCGTGATCACTGCCAGCTTTCTCTATCGAAAGAACAGAGATTCTATGATGCATCAATCGACATATGACCTGCCTTTGGGAGGGAATCACTGCATGGGCAGACGGCAAAGGTGGCATGGAAAAGAGTCGCTTTTTTGTTTTTGGCGTGTTTGGCTTTTCTTTCTTTACCTCAGCGGGGCTCTTCAGTGCTCTTCAGTGCCCTTTCTTGCTTTTCTCTCAGCCTTGCAGACACAGGTTACTCCATTCACCAGACCGTATATCTCAACAAACACACACACAACATCCTTAGACATACATTTATTACACTGAAGACCAGCATTGCATCTATGGCATCCAGCCGGTCCGGCCCTTCTCCTGTATTCTTTCTTCTTCTTCTTCTTCTTCTTCTTCTTCTTCTTCTTCTTCTTCTTCTTCTTCTTCTTCTTCTTCTTCTTCTTCTTCTTCTTCTTCTTCTTCTTCTTCTTCTTCTTCTTCTTCTTCTTCTTCTTCTTCTTCTTCTTCTTCTTCTTCTTCTTCTTCTTCTTCTTCTTCTTCTTTCATTCTTGGACAAAAAGACCGGCTGAACGACAAGGACACCAACATACTTCATAATGAGCACCTTAACGTAAAGACCACACATACATGTACATCTTTACTAAACTTACGGTCTTACTCGCATTCTTAGCGAGCCGCTCATTGCACATGGTGCTTTGATGATGGATACGTATGTGTGGGTTTGTCTGCACTTCTGTTTCTGTGGCTATGGTTGAGTGACGTGATGATTTTGCTGTTGCTACTGTTGTGGCTGTGTGACGCATTGGTGTCTTTGTATGGGGTGTTGAATAGCTGACCGGATGATTCCAATAGGGTAGTGGTTGTTCTGCTATCTTCTAGATACCTCATTGACGTCTTGCCTGCGTTATGTTGGTGATCAGTGTTGCAGCACTCTTACGCTTTGTTGAATACCTCAACTCTCACCATCCACAGATGGACTTCACACCTTGGTCGGTGCAAAGTCCAGAGCTCTGGCGGCTCGTTTGGCGGCAGGACCTCAGTCACTGGGCCAGGCAGTGCTTCGTTCTCGGCGGAAACACAGAGCCTTACAGCCCGCTGTGCAGCCGAAAACGGATGCTCTCCAGTCAGAGCTAGCCCGGGCGGTGGTACATAAAACGAGCCATAGGCTGGGTAGCGTCCATGCGGCTTGGGCATAGCCGGCACCTCACCACTTCCGCAGACAGTGGGGGATGCGGCCGGAAGCAAATTACGCTGAGTGGGCTGTGGTGCCCTCTCAGACACAGCATTTCCACTCTGAATCTCTGCAGCTCCGCGATTTGCCACAAGCGCGTCGTGCTGCTTGGGACGCGCAGAACCAGCCGTCCCCGGACTGGTGAGGTCACTATCGGATGACATGGTTCTGCAATCAACACGTAGCTAGGCTATACGGCTACGTCCAAAGAGAAATAAATCTGCAACTGACACAGCGGAAGACACACACACGCGTACACATGCACATGCACACACACACACACACACATGCGCGCGCACGCACACACACACACACACACACACACACACACACACACATGCACACACGAGGAACTCTCCCACACATTCGGTTACTTGGATCTGTCGCTCGAGTGGTAAGCTCAATTGGGAGCTGTTTGTCATGCTGTTCCGTAGTAGTCTACACTTGTCATACCTCTCTTCTTCACCTTTGGGCACCAACCAGTTTCAGGAGCGATAGCCAACTCAACAATGGAAGAGGGACGTCAATGACGTATCCAGAAGACAGCAGCACAACTCAAAAAATTATCCAATCAGCCATTCAACATGCTGTACAAAGACTCCAAGGCATCACACCACCGCCACAGCAGTAGCCAGGCGCGTCGCACCGACTTTGGAGGTGAGGCAGCCATGGAAGGGGTCCGGGGGTCCTCCCCGGGAAAAAATTTCAAAAATTGAAGCCAAGTGCAAGCATTTCCGGGCATTTCGTGCCATTTCAGTGTACGGTAACTACAATGAAAGACTTTTTGATTCTGCAAAAAACCAAGAAGATGCTACGATCGGGGACAAACATTACCCTCCCCCGGGAAAAAATTCAAAAATTGAAGTCAATTACAAGCATTCCCAGGCATTTGGTGCCATTTCCGTGTACATCAGGTACATGGACTTTTGATTCTGCAACAAACCACGATCGGGGACAAGGATTTGCCACGTTTGCGCTGAGATCATCGCGCTTTGTTGCAGTGTGCTAAAAAAAAAAAAAAAAAAAAAACGGCCGAAAAAGTGGGGCGGCCATGGGGCCGGTGCGGTTCCGACACCCTTGGTAGCGACAGCAAAATCATCATGTCACTCAACCATAGCCACTTAAGAGCAGACACATTTCACCATCAAAGTACTATGTATTATTATAATGAGCAGCTTGCTAAGAATGTTTGAAAGACCATTAGATTATTTAGCAAAGATATTATGCGTTCCGTCTTCGCTCTCAGGTGTTCATTACAAGAGATGTTGGTGTCATCTTCGTTCAGCCAAGTCTTTTTTTGTCCGAGAATTATACGGCAGACGAATAAGGAATAGAATAATAAGAGAAGGATCGGATTGGATGAGTGCCATGGATGCAGTGCTGGTCTTCAGCATCATGTACGTGTGTCTAAGGATTTTGTACAATTTTGTTGAGGCGTACCACCTATGGTGAAGAGTGTGTCGATGAGGCGAAGAGAACAGGAAGAAGGTGCACTTTAAGATCACCGCCGACAGGCGACTAATGCAAAGCCAGCAACAGTCCTGGGGAGCATTCCTGGGAAAGGCGTTATCAAGAGTACATAACCCCGAGAGTATGCAACTCTGCAATGGAGTCTGGCGCATCATGCGTAGGCATTGCCTTTGAACTACTTACCATATTGCACATGAAATCGTTGAGGCTAACCCGTAGGGAAACTCAAATCCAGGCAGCTCAATCGTTATTCGCGGCGAACTGCCTGCATTACGTAGTGAAATTTTCACTACGTAATGCAGGTAGTGCGCCGCGCAGGGCACCCATACCTCAGAGAGATCAGGAGTTGCACACTCTTGGGGTTATGTTCTCTTGGCACTGTATCATTTCCCTTTCATCCTTGCCATTGCCCGAGCAGTTCTTCTTGCCCTAAGGCAAAGGCCATAGCTCAAAGGATGCATCATGGAAGCTCTGCTCATTTGAAAGAGAAATTCAGCTTTTTGTTGGCTGTGGATAAGCTGCACTTCTTTCTATCATAATTCTTGTATTGGTGTTTTTTCCTCAAAATGGACCTGGCCTGAAAATTTTGATAACTGCTAAGTGCTATATGTGCAGCTTGTAGCCGACAGACCGTTGTGGGTGACATGTGCAAAGATCCGAGTTTGTATCATTTATATTTGTTCTTGGTGTGACTTGGAGAAGGTGTGATCTGAAGTGATGAATGAACCGTATCATCCGGGGCTAACGCCGCTGGCTTATTCCTAAAAATGACCAGAAGCACTCTTCATCGTACACCCCAAATATTTTGTTTTTGTGCAAACAAACACAAACTGGGATGTAACATTTTGTCTTCAAGAGGGGATGCAGGGCAAACACATGCATGGCATTGATGCCAAAATATGGTAATTGATGTGCGTGTCTGAATGCTTTGCATAGGCGCTGCTCAAGTATGTTGAGTTTGCCCAGAACATGGTGTATGCACCCAACTCGCTCAGGGTTGTCTTCAAGGCCAGTGATCGATCTACTATGATTGGTAAGTCTCTTCTAGTCTAGTCTGTCTCTCTGTTGGATAAATGAATATTCTGGATTACTGAAGCTGCATAGTCATCTTGAGTTCACACATCAAAAGGATGTTAGAGCATGATTTTACCTGTATTTTGATTTGTCACTGGTATTATCCAGAGGCGGTCGCAGTGCTCATCTATTTAGACTGACTCGGGATGCTTTTCGGTCCTCCTCACGCTTCAAGTCCATTGGTTTGAGGGAGTTGACAGGGGAAAAATGTCTGAAGAAGAAATTAGACGTCAACACTCAGACTCTATCGCTAAAAGATAAAACATTGTAGAGTTTGATCATCACCAGGACTGAAGAAAGAGGTACGGTGCTAGTGCACATAGTGCAAAAATACCATTAGCTTATCACAAATACCATTAGTTTATCACAAATACCATTAGTTTATCCGAATCTGGGCAAACACTCGGTGCAGTTACATGTCTCGTATATGGGCGTTTGTTCAGCAAAACCTACTTAGCTCAAGTGCATGCATGAGTGAATGGCATTAAGCCTGCACCTTCACACTGCGACAAGAGGGTCGCGTCTATGCGATAGCATAACGCAGAAACGGAATGGTCGTGCTCACACTACGACCAAAAATGCCGAAGAGAGGTGTTGCGTTTCACATTTTTGACGTTCGGAAAAATGTTTGCGTTTCAAATTCAAATTGTACGAGTTTTTATAGACAATTAGCACTCTCATTTCACACCGGGCCAGGCTCAAATCTCCAACACCGACGGATGACTGATATGTTCTTCTTCACAAGGGTCAGTTTTTTCCTCGCCTGAGTGCCGGAGTAGTTCACAATTTCCGCCCGATGGTCACGCATCTTGATTCAGGCCCACATTCGAAATCTGTTGTGCGTCCATGCGACTGAACGTCCATAGCTGTGGCACCTCGCCCCCCCCCCCCCCCCCCCCTCTTGAGGCTGTGATCTCAGTTTAAAACGCAATCGCATTAAGGCCTGGCCGCTTGACCGTATGGACACGTGTTTTGGCTGCAGTGTGAGCATGCCCTTATCCTGCAAACCCGGAGCTACAATTGGCTCCTCTCCAAGTTTTCTTCTCCACCACTCCTTTCAAGTCACCGTCGGTCACTGCCTGTGCAATGTTATCGTATGAGCTGATTGTCACGTAACGGGTGGTGTTAGTGGACATACCGTATAGGCGCAAATAGAAGCCCCGGGGCTCTATTTTTCCAGAAGACACCCAGAGGGGGCTGTATTTGAGAGGAGGCTCTATTCGAGAGGGGGCTTTATTTTTTCAATAGAAACATCAATTTTTCACACCTTTCAAGATGATCGTTTCTGGCGCAGTGTGTTCCCATTTTTGCATGTCTCTACGTTGACCCCAGAGGGCCAGACCGATCCCGTACCTCCAATATGGATCTAGTGATCCGCAAAGCACACTGTGTTGATCGTGCATACCGTACATGGTTCATGTACAGCACTACAACGTACGGACTGTGGGCGCTCGATTAGAGCCCCGCGCTTTTATTCGAGACGGGGCTGTATTACTTCTAATGCCTCTGAAGGACAGGCTCTATTTGAGAGGGGGCTCTATTCGAGGGGGGGGGGGCTTGTATTCGCGCGCGTACGGTAGTAGTTCCTTGGTCCTTTTCTTTGATATTTGTTGTCACACATTTTGGTCCAAGTCTGGGTCAGTTCTAGCGGAAGCAGATTCTGGTTCTCTTTTCTTTATAAAAGACTCAATGACAGCAAGTCACTTGGAGCTGATAACAAATCAACGCAGTGCTAAGAGCGATCATTCTTTGTATGGTGTTCTGAACTACACCAAAACAGCTGGAGGAGGTAAGTTGTTGACTGCATGTAGATTGTGCTTCTTCTGCATTAATTTCTATGCTTGTATCACACAGTGTTATACCAAGCCTTTGAGACTTTGTGCAGGCAACCTAGTATATTCTACTGGCTTGAATAGTGTTTGGCATGATTTCAACTTTTTACTGCCTTCTCATTGTCTGATTTCACTCCAGTGTACACCCATCTTCAACTCTACTCACCCTTTAAGGAAAATTTTTGAAGACCACAGTATCTCAGCCTTCCTAGTTGTAAAATGTGTTGTTTTCCTGTGTGATGACAGGAGGCACCTAGCCAGAAGGCTCTGTGAGGGGGGGGGGGGGCTTCCAGATGGAGTCTCATGGTGTCCCCTTGCAGGGGTAAAAATGGGGGTGGGGGTGGAGAACCCTGTGAACCCCGTGAACAGCTTTAGGGCTTCTTGGAATATCTTCTTCGGTGACTGCATGCACTCGCAAGTGCATAAGGTTTCAGCATCTGCACTGCACCCCCAGAGGGGGTTTCCGGCGACCTGGAAACACTGACGGCTAACGTTACGTGCCTGGAGTGTTGTTTGAAAAATGATGAGCTATTGCAAGGCCAATTTCAAGATCAATCTGCCTGCCATATCTGAACAATGAAGGGTAGCTTGACTTGTAGGGAAGGCCAACTGCTTGGCGTTCAGTGTGTTATGTGCAGTTCGACTTGTCTTCTCTTGTTATTCCAACAGGACGCCTACTACGGTCTAACATTCTACAACCACCAAACAGTGAGTCACACCAAGCATCTATATCTATTAGTGGGTGCTTTTGTAGACAGGCACACTCCTAGGATTATGCCAGCCCTCACCGTAGGCATATGCAACTGTGAGTAGGAGTATGAGGTGTCCTGTATCGTGTGCTCTACCCATGCCACGGCTACCCAGGCCCATTTTGGTGTTTGATTTTCACATCCCTGTGGTATGCATTTCACTCACTATCCCTGTTTTGATATCCACTATAAATAAAGTATACAACAACAACAACTCCCGATTTCCGCATTGCTGGCAACATGCAACGTGTAAATCTTGCTAAATCGCCGTGTTCACTGCATGTGTCTGAACCAAGCATCCCGCCATGTGCACACAGACCTGTTGTGTGCTTGTCATGTTATGTACACATCCTGTTGTTTATTGTTATATTTTGTCTTGTTGTGTGCTTTTCATGTTGTATGCACAGACCAGGATACTATCACCTTGAGACTGGATTGTGTTGAAGGTATCATTGTGTGTGATTGCTGCGTCCTAAGGACTGTTGGTCAATTGGGCATACAAACACATTTGTCGTCAAGGTGCACAATGTCGTTGGCACAGAGGAAAACCTTGAATTCCTCGCTCGTGAATTGTATTCCATTATCTGAAACAAAATGTTCCGGCAGACCAAACACAGAACACACATGCCGCAGTGCCGCAAGAGTGGTTACAGATGTGGCATTAGACATTGCGATTACATCCAGGTACTTTGTATATGCATCAACCACGACCAGAAACATCTTCCCCATGAACAGTCCTGCAACGTCAATGTGCACCCATTTCCAAGGACCGGTCGGCCATGACCAAGTTCCAGACTTAGCAGGCGGGCATTTGGCATTTTCGTGGCATTGTGTACATACCTTCACCAGCATTTCCGCCTCCTGATCCACGTTTGGCCACCATAAGTTAGGTAACGTCGAGCAATTTGCTTAGTTTTGACCATTCCGAAATGCTCAGTGTGCAAGTCACATAGCGATATCATTCAAAGTGATTTAGGTATTGTCTCCACAATAGGATACCATCTTCTGCAGACAGCTTGTTCCTCTTATTGTAGTAGGACCGAAAGGACTGGGGTACTGAGCTAGGCCAACCATTCAAGACATAGATAGCTCAGGATCACGAGCTGTTTACGATTTGACTATATCTCGGCTTTGATAATCGCGTCTTCCTCCACTAGTAAGACTCAAATCATAATCAATTCATCCGCAGACGGACTGACATTATGACATTCTGCGTGGTGTAGACCAGGCTAAAATTAGTCGCGGTCAATTCATCAGCCTTGCAAGCCGTTGAATGGTGTAATCCCAGCACAAATTGCTATGTTTAACATAGTTTGTCGCTATCACCGCTTCAGCAATGGGCATGAGTATGAGTATGAGTGTGTGTGTGTGTGTGTGTGTGTGTGTGTGTGTGTGTGTGTGTGTGTGTGTGTGTGTGTGTGTGTGTGTGTGTGTGTGTGTGTGCCTTCACTGGGGGCAGGGGTACCTGCAGTTGGATCCCGGGACGGATACCCTGATGCCGTCAATCCTTTTTCTGCACCTTGTCCTCACCCACTTACTAAGGTGTGGTGAGCCCATAAGTGGGATCATTTCAAGTCCACCCTAGTTTGGGGATTTCAGGGGGTGTCGGCCGCTGGGTGGTTCAATGGCCAATTGAGTCATCTTTCCAAGATTCCTTTTGAGTCTCTCTCCCCTCTCCCGGGGAGACCCACGTGACCAGTTTTGGCAGTGAGCAAGTACAAGTGTGTGTGTGTGTGTGTGTGTGTGTGTGTGTGTGTGTGTGTGTGTCCCATAATGGTGCAATGGTATGTGCAGTCGATTTCCAATCGAGAGGTTGCGGGTTCAATTCCCGACGATTATGGCCGCACACGTCTTTCTTCTCTTTCTCATTCTCCTAGCTCTTCTTTCATTCTCCTGGGTGGTTACCAACAGCCAGTGTATGCCGGAGTATGTGGTGTGGTGTGTGTATGTAAAAAAAGAATGTAAAAATTGAAAAAAAAATGAAAAATGAAAAATAGGGATTCGCTGGCCAGAAAAAAGCCACTTCAATCAACTGTGTGGTGGATACCAGGCTAAAATTAGTGGCGGTCAACTCATCAGCCTTGCAAGCTGTTGAATGGTGTAATCCCAGCACAAGTTGCTATGTCTAACATAGCTGTTCGCTATCATCCCTTCAGCGATGGGCATGCCTGAGTGTGTGTGTGTGTATGTGTGTGTACTCGTGTGTAATCAATGGTGCTAGTGAAGCTTTTATCAGATCCACTCTGATTTAGCCACCCACACCAGTAGCACATATTACATTCACTGGGGGCAGGGGTAACTGCAGTTGGATCCCAGGACGGATACTCTGATGCTGTCAATCCTTTTTCTGCACCTTGTCCTCACCCACTTACTTAGGTGTGGTGAGCCCATAAGTGGGATCATTTTCAAGTCCACCCAGAGTTTTGGGGATTTTATGGGATGCCGGCCGTTGGGCGGTTCAATAGCCAATTGAGTCATCTTTCCAAGATTCCTTTTGAGTCTCTCTCCCCTCTCCCGGGGAGACCCACGTGACCAGTTTTGGCAGTGAGCAACAAGTATGTGTGTGTGGCTTCTTTCCTTGTGTTCTAACGATTGGTCTGCAGAGCTCACGGAGAAAGAGGTACGTATTGAAGTGCATACTGCACTGGCTAGGTAGTAGAACTTGTGTTTGCGGCAAGGTACTGCTTTGCGTATTGCATGTATGCCTAGAAATACAATTTTTAATCTCACAGTCCATAGGGGGATCAGTCAGACTGACTTTTCCACATCCATAAAACGCCCATCCTCAAGGGTCAAGGCTTCTAAAGCGATGGGAAGTGAGTGGATGAGACCAGCTGCAGAATGGTTACAGACGAAAAATCCCATTCGGTACATCCACGCTACCCTCGTGCCAGGTCATGAGTTCCCAATTTGAACAGAGTTGCAGCTTGGTCGGAAAAACGTTCCGGTTCCAAGAAGGACAATGATTCATGTTGCAGTCACTGCTAGGACCTCCAACACTGTGATCATCCCACACAATGGGTAGTAGTTACTGTACACCGTGATCATCACACACAATGGGTAGTAGTTACCGTATTTTCCAGAGTATAAGCCACACTTTCAACACTCAGTGTTCACCCAAAAAGAAGGGTGGAGGGGGGGGGGGGGGGTGCGGCTTATACTCCGATGATCAAATTGACGGTGATAAATAGGATGGATGTCTGTATTTCGTGGCAAAGAATGGGGCTCCAGTGCGGCTTATACGGCTTACACTGTAGAACAGGTAATTTTAGCGACGTAAAAAACCCTAGCGAATTTAGCGATCTACTCATTTTCGCTAACGTTTCAAGTCGCTAATCCGTTGAGACATTAGTAATAGTAGTGCACTGGTGATCCGTGAGTAAAATCGCTGCAAATCGCTAAAATAAAACGTCGCTAACCGGTTGACAATGGGAAAACGCTAAAATTAATAGTCGCTAAAATTACCCGTTCTACAGTACTCCTGCAAATATGGTACCAGAATAGATGTTGATAGGTGTACAGTCTGTATCGGCTATAGCGTACCCTTTTGATTTCCGTGATATTATCACTATATCCGATGCAACACTATATGCGATACGATCGATTTTTTATTTTTTATTTCGATCGACACATGAAAGGCAAGGAAATACTTCCAGCATGGCGTTTTGACAAATGAGCATGCTGCATAGTTGACAGTGCCCGCATTTCCGTAAAAAAATCTGTTATGTACATGTATATGTACATGTATCACTCAATCTGCGGACAGAACTGTTTCGTCCTTTGTTCATGTACATGTATCACTATAAAAATAAGCAATGTGAAGTCTCACTGAAGAAAGTAAAAAAATAGGGCCTTTGATATTGATTGCTACAAGAATTTTCATAGTTATCACTATAGCCGATAATAATATAGTGTGTTATGCATGTTTTGATTCTTTGCTGCCATCATAATATCCGATATATCATTACATCCGATAATATTGGTTATAGTGATATTTTTCTTGAATTGTTTGCAGGCAACCTGCCTACACTCAAGAGAGCACTGCATTTCACACAAATCCATTGGTATCGTTACAACGTTTCGGTCTTTATGACCATCATCAGGAATGAAGTGGACATGGAAAGAACAGCGGTATAAAAGAAGGAGGCAAGCAAGCAAAGCGCGGTACATAGTGACAGCGCGCGTAGAGAAGTGCAAAGCACGTCATGGCGGGTGTGCATTACTACATATACATGACAACACAAGCACAAACGGCGAGGAAAGTAGATACTGCGCTACAGCAGTGATAACAGCCCAGTTCCAGTCTCACACCACCAGTGAGGTGTCTAGAGCCCCGCGCCACTCGCAGTAAGGTGGTGTTATAGCAGATCCCAGCCACTGTTGTTGTTAATTTCCGGGGATCGCTCCCTGATATTGATGGCCTCCCGGATCCTCCTCCTGGGGCGGTCACGCTCAGAACCGAGAACCCGGATACCTGAGAAAGCCGTTGCTCCCAATGGCAATGGGTCAGATGCATGCTTGGCCGCGAAATGCTCACCCAGCGCGGTGCCGCTCACTGTGTTGCGTGCGTCGTCGTTGTGTTCTTTTGTCCTGGTAGCGAGGCTGCGGTACGTCTCTCCGACATATTTATCACCACATTTGCACTCGAGGTGGTATACAACATTTCGCTCCGTGCATGCCCCTGAACCGGACATGCAGGCGACACAAGCAGCTTTGGGCCGCCCCCGTTTACGGGGCCTGGACGGGTCTACATACCTGCGGCATGGTGGTTTGCGGAGGGCAGACGTGCAAATCATAGAACTTAGACGGCGGTTCCTGTAAATCAGCTGGGCATTTATCTTGTACTTCCGGAGTAATTTATGAATTTTGTTGTGGATATACTCGGTGTGAAACGGTAGGTTGAGGGTGACACGGTATTCATTCTGCACTCTGACACGTCGGGGGCGCATAGCTCGTTCACGTGCCGAAACTATAACTGACTCTGGGAAGTTGTTGAATTTTAGGATGTTGGTTACTTTTTCTTCACTTCTTTTTAGGGTGTCGAGACCGAAACGTTGTAACGATACCAATGGATTTGTGTGAAATGCAGTGCTCTCTTGAGTGTAGGCAGGTTGCCTGCAAACAATTCAAGTATAATGAAGCTGCGTGAAGCGTCCTTCAAAATTTTGAAGTGATATTTTTGCTGGATAAAATACGTTTTGCTTTTGATATTGCGTACCAGTATCACTGTAGCCGATATATTCTTTTATCCGGTCACTCTATAGCCGATACAGACTGTACTTGTATTTTGAAATGATTTCACCTTAAGTGTCTCAATGTAATGCATAGGTCATCAGCATCCTGAAGTGAATGTGCCTGATGAATGCTGTTGTGCACCCCATATGTTTTATGTAGCCGTAATAGCAGTTATTATCATCTGTGTGTGTGTGTGTGTGTGTGTGTGTGTGTGTGTGTGTGTGTGTGTGTGTATGTATGTGTGTGTGTATGTGTGCGTGTGTATGTGTGTGTGTGTGTGTGTGTGTGTGTGTGTGTGTGTGTGTGTGTGTGTGTGTGTGTGTGTGTGTGTGTGTGTGTGTGTGTGTGTGTGTGTGTGTGTGTGTGTGTGTGTGTGTGTGTGTGTATGTCCCATAATATGGTGCAGTGGTATGTGCAGCGATTTCCAATCGATAGGTTGTGGGTTTGATTCCCAACGATTATGGTCACACACGTCTTTCTTCTCTTTGTCAGACTCCTCCTGACTTTTCTTTCATTCCCCTGGGTGGTTACCAACAGCCAGGGCATGCTGGAGTATGTGGTGTGATGTGTGTGCGGGAAAAAAATGAAAAAGACCAAAAAGTAGGGATTCACTGGCCAGAAAAAGCCACTTCATAGCTGTGTGGTGTAGACCAGGCTGAATAGTGGCGGTCAATTCTTCAGCCTTGCAATCTGTTGAATAGTGCAATCCCAGCACAAGCTGCTATGGCTTCTGCTGTAGCATCGCTATCATCGCCTCCGGCGATGGGCGTCCAATGGTCCAATGGGCGTCCAATGGTGTGTGTATGTGTGTGTGTATGTGTGTGTGTGTGTGTGTGTGTGTGTGTGTGTGTGTGTGTGTGTGTGTGTGTGTGTATTTTACTATGATGCAAGTCCAGTAGTGCTGTCCAGTAGTGCTGTCCGTGAGTCCTGTCACACACTATTCTGCTGTTCCATGATGTGCTCTATCACAGGAGGTATTTCTCAACATCCAGGGATGTAAGCATCGGCTTGTTGACCAGCATTTGTACTGCAAACAACAGTGATTGCAGCGGAAAGGGGGTATTGCTTGATTCTTTTGCGGAAAGTGACATTAAGCTGGTATGATTGTCACCATGAAACACCTTTGCCTTGCAACCGATGGTACATACACCGCACTGAACATGAAATGCACCCTACCGTATGTTGTACCTCGCTGGATTATTACTTCCAGCCCTCTTACTATCAGCACACACTCATACAATTGTCTACAGGACTACATTGGAAAAGACTTATTTTAGAAAGATGCAATGTAAACACGGCTGGACAAGGAAGACTCCTCGTGACGAAAATGGATTTCCACACCACAGCAACACGCACAAGCACCAACGACACGTACACACAACGTGCTCAAAATAACACACTACTTCACCTGTTTGCCGTGGTGTCTTGTGTTTCTCTTTTGAATACACTATGACAGTACTGTCAAGATTCCTGGACGTGGACCATCTAATATCGATGTTTGTTCAGGTGAGCAGATATCTAACCCAGAGACTGCCAAGTATCTACTTAAAGTACCGCACAAGACAAGCATGCACACTGCACACTGCAAGGGCAGGGGCGGTGGAGCTGGGTCAGGTGGTCAGACCACGGCCAGACAACGAGTATCAGTATTGTATCATACACAATGTGTGAACGACTGTGGTGTAGCCGGACAAATCCAAAACTGCTTCCGCTGGTCCCGAAGTGAATACAGATTAGTGAGAGATGGATGTCTTCACTCAAAGGGAACTGTGGTCTGAACAGAGGGCCATTCCATTTCCTTTTCCGTTTTTGTAAAGGCCTAGGAGCTGTGTTGATGCGTGAAAACCCGAGTTGAGTTGAGTTGAGTCAGACAATGGAAAGGTACCGGCGTGTTGAAGTCATGATTTACCAGCAGTGTCATGATCGCCAATTGATGCTCTTTTAACAGCTTGTGGCTTATCTAAGCTGCACATACACATCATTGCTGAAATAGGTGTTTTGTCAGTATTTGAGAATGAATTTGTTCATTTTAGGGTTCAGATTGGTGTGAGGTCGTGGATCTAGTAAAACTTGTAACTAACCACTACCGTTTCTAGTGACCAACCTGCCACTACCGACCACTTTGCCAGGTACGGAAACTCTCACATTCAGAATGCCCTGTGAATACTGACTACCTGCTCAACGCGACCAGCGACCGCGTTTTCTTGTCCCAATGTCGATGTTTGACACATAAATAGTGACTGTAATGTTGGAAATCAAAGGTTGTTTGAAGCTGCTTCTTTGAAGTTTGATGGTTTTCCATCACCCTGAAGGTAGACTTTTTTATGCAATTGAGCAAATGAATATAGGCTCATTGGACTGTAGACTGAACGGTACCTGTCATGGTTCAATACAAACATCTTTAATAGCGCATTGAAAGCGCGCTCAGATCAATGTCACTGCTCGGAGGAGAAACAAAAACTGAGTGGCTCTGTCAAAGTGCACTCCATTGCTACAGTACTCTCCTTCACAGCACACGGGAGTGGTGTCTGTAGGTGTTATAAACATTCATAACATCGCCATGCACATCGCTGTACATTCCCGTACACACCAGTCTAGTCTATGTATCCAGGGTCAGTAGATCCCAGTCCATGCAACTGTGCTTGACTGCACCGAACCATGCACACCAGCACCGTCTAGTCAAAGGGATCAGGATCATGCCCCCTGGTCTGTGTGTGTCAGTGCATCATCGTACATCACAATACAAGTCACGGGGAAATGAATTAGCTCCATTTTGACTTACATATTATCATAGTATTTTATGACATCCATTATGGTTGTGAGGGGCCTAACCTCCAACTAAAGACCACCTGCCCCCAAAGACCGATTTTTCCCGCAAGGAGTGGTAATTAGTTGCAGGTTTTACTGTATTATCATGGTATGAGATGAGAGTTCCTCTCCAATTCCTGCTGGTTACATACAGAGGTTAAGGTGGGCGTGGAAAGTGTCACATGGAAGCTACCAATTGTTGTACAATTTACTTTTGAAATTTGAAAGTCCAATGTTACGGTGCAAATTTGGGGTTGTTCATATCCGAAATGGCCAAGTAAACAACAGTGTTGCTCACCTTTGTTCAATTACAAGTTCTTCTTGCAGCAGAATAATTTCTCAATATTTTCTTTAAGCATTCCTGTACCTTTCCATTATCTGATTTCATTCTGGTTCATACCATCTACCTGTATTGAAAGGGAAGAAGTACTTTAGTGACAAGTCCCCTTCATTCTGCAATGTATTCATATGCTCTTCCTGTTGGCGCTCAGATTCCTAAGAGTGAGTCGGTCAAGACAGCAGAAATGCGCATTGCAGCAGTCATTTATCTGAAGCACACATTGGAGCTGGTGGAACCGTTGCGTAGTGCTCTTGAGCAGTGTGCAAACCCTCTCTTCCGTGCCTACCATAAGGTGAGATACTCATTCCACTGCCGTTGTGCTTGTAGCCTTTGCTGTGTTACCTTCTTACTGATTTTGTAGAGAAAGAGACTTGGCCGGTCCAGCATCACCCCGAGACACTTCACAGTGTGTTGGTCTAGCATCACCCCGAGACACTTCACAGTGTGTTAGTCCAGCATCACCCCGAGACACTTCACAGTGTGTTGGTCCAGTGTCACCCAAAGACACTTCACAGTGTGTTGGTCCAGTGTCACCCCGAGACACTTCACAGTGTGTTGGTCCAGTGTCAACCAAAGACACTTCACATTGCAGTAAAACCTGTCTTTACCGGATGCCCCTCGTGCGGGGGAATCCATCCTGATATGACAATAATCCTCTTGATACAGGAAGGCATGCACAACCCACAATATGCGTATTAAATTGATCAGCACAACGTCATCTTTGGTTCTATGCCTCAACCAATCAATATGTAGACGAACAAGGACAAAGGTCAAAAAGAATGGTTCCACCAATTATATATGAGCCCCGGCCAGCGAAAACCAGCACTTGTGTACTTGATATCAATCATCAAAATATGACGTCAAAGTTTGGGACGCGCAGTGAGCTGGCTTTTGAAGATTCTTTTTCGATCGAGTGGGTGTCAAAGGAGTTTCAAGTGTCTTCAAATGTCTCTGGTCAATTGATTTTAGCGCTAGGTGAGAGCTCATCACACGGAGGTTGAGTTTAGACACAGCGATGGCGACAGGTGTCGCGACAAAGACTTAGGTCCAGAGTTGTCAGCGTGAGACTCCCTGTACGAAGCGGCGCTGAAAGTTAGTTCGCGATCGGAATTATTTCTTTGGTGGTGATCTCGCTGAGTTTGTCCAGCAGTGGCGAGTCTCATATGCATAGCAACGAAGAGCCCTCATAAAATCGACACTGGATACTGGTGGCGACGATAGTCAGTGCTGGAGTAATAGCGACTGCGAGAAGAAGCTGAATGTCGACCCACTGAGCGATCCGTATTTCTACATCGACGACAATGATGTTGCAGACACTGATGTTGCAGACACTGATGGAGGGCTTCTCACGGCGCAAAACAGAGCGTAGTATTATCAGTACTCTACCTTGCCAGACGACGCCAAGCTGGCTGCTGCCTGTGCTGAGAAAGTGAATCCCTAAAAACTCAAACCGGCTGAACGCTTTGGGGCAACATCTTCACGTGCTACAAAACGCGAGTATTCGCTCATATCATTGAAATACAATTATGCTGAAATCATGGTCTGAGTGAAAGTGTGCAAGGGAGTGGATGTCAGTGGTATTGGTCAGTACATCTATCAGTATGGCAAGTTTGGGACAACGCTCAAACTGCCCATAGCCAGCAATCGCATGTCATCACGTACATTCAAAATCAACATAATTTTGCGAATCGACCTTTTTTTCAGGATCACTTTTCAACGAGGACGAAGCAAAGTCGGCCGAACGAAGCCTAGAGGAAGAAAATCACCCTCTCCACTTCACCATCACGATACTGACATAGATACGAGATGAAACAACTAAAAAATCCACAAGAAAACTGTACGGCCATCATCTTTGGTCTGACTTTGGTCTGAGAATTTCTATCACGATCAAAAATGTACGAGGAGCACTCAAAAATAAGCCACAGACGTACCTTTATCGCTCTCTACTCCTTTTTCAAGGCACAAAAGTCGACTCTCCACTTTCAAACCAGGAACCAGACATACCAGTGGTCCTTTTCAGCTGCTCCACGAGCGCAGGAAATGTTCACCAAGGGGCGCAGAGCAGCATCCATTCCAGAAAAAGAGCTAAAATACGAGTGAGACTGCATGCCTGAGTACATGAGTACATGTATGAGTACATGCAGAAAATAGTCAATTTCAGCGTTTCTGCTCCAAACAGCAACTAGCTTCGACTAGAAACAAAGATTACACCAAAGGATCAAACAACAACCATTTTCTGTAGTTTTTTTGCAGATGGCTTCCTTGTGCAAGGCCCAGCACGCCAAAAATCACACCTCGGAGGAGTACAAAAATTACAACTCTCAGATGTCCTCGATTGCTGGCCATGAGCAGAGAGGTCCCTGAACACAATTTGGAAGGCCAGCCACCAATAATCGTTTTGCACTCTGGTGTTGTAAAGAAGGTAGTGATGTATACGGAATATCGTCACACTTCTGAACTACTCATGCCTGCAGCACCAAGAGGGCAAGCCTGACTTGCATTCTATTTACTTACATGTACCTGTTCCACGTCACAATCAGAAACTGTAGGATCAACTTGCATGGAGTCACTGGGCATGGATGCTGCGCCAACTGTACCGAATCTTGACCTGTGCGACTTCAAACTCTATTTTCCATGCTTTCGCTTATCAGATTGTCACCAAACTCGATAACTTGAATTAACGCACTCTCCACATACAGGCATGCACCCGGCTCAGAACACATTGTTTTCTGGTTGGCATATCAGGGATATTGGGCGGAGCAGCTGGCGTGCATGAGAAAGACAGGTCGGCCTGCTCTGCGCAGGAGCTGTGACCCGGTGCACACATAGTGTGTGTGTGAGAGAGAGAGACAGACAGGTCGGCCTGCTCTGCGCAGGAGCTGTGACCTGGAGCACACAGAGTGTGAACGGGTGCACACATAGTGTGTGTGAGAGAGAGAGACAGACAGGTCGGCCTGCTCTGCGCAGGAGCTGTGACCTGGAGCACACAGAGTGTGAACGAGAGACGGTCGGCCTGCCGTGGGCAGGAGCTGCGACCGGTAGTGATTGAAATGAGCCAGCTGCGGAGATAGACTGCCCTCACCCGATATAAGTATATTGACAAGAGTTGTACTGACACTGTTATTGAGGAAATTATGGTGACAGTGACGGAGAGATAGTGATCCCCAGTCGAATGGGGTTGGGAGGGAAGGGGAAAATTGACAACTGACGGACAAACCAGTGAACAGTCAAGTCGTCGGAAAGCAAATGTGACAAAGGAGTCTCTCTTTTCTCTTGCTCTCTCTCTAAAGCAAGATTTGGAAAGCACGCGTGGGAGAGTGGCGCGCGCTGCGCATGCGCATGTATAGCAATGACATCATAATCAGATGCATGATCATCAGACTAAGTATGAGTGGTAGATGTTCCACGTTCGTTAACAGGGCTTAGCGCACACGCTAAACCACCATTAACGCACTCTCCACATACAGGCATGCACCCGGCTCAGAACACATTGTTTTCTGGTTGGCATATCAGGGATATTGGGCGGAGCAGCTGGCGTGCATGAGAAAGACAGGTCGGCCTGCTCTGCGCAGGAGCTGTGACCCGGTGCACACATAGTGTGTGTGTGAGAGAGAGAGACAGACAGGTCGGCCTGCTCTGCGCAGGAGCTGTGACCTGGAGCACACAGAGTGTGAACGGGTGCACACATAGTGTGTGTGAGAGAGAGAGACAGACAGGTCGGCCTGCTCTGCGCAGGAGCTGTGACCTGGAGCACACAGAGTGTGACCGAGAGACGGTCGGCCTGCCGTGGGCAGGAGCTGCGACCGGTAGTGATTGAAATGAGCCAGCTGCGGAGATAGACTGCCCGTTCCCAATATCCCCAATATGGCATGAGAGTAATAATGAAATACGATTGGTGTATTGTGCTGTACTGACAGCAGCAATGCAAAGCTAAAGCTAAGCAGTTCAGGCACAATGTGGTCACTAACCCGCAGCTACCATTGATGACTTTGAACTGCAGCTAATTGACGTGACACTCGCAGGGTGTCAGCTGTAGCAGCCCGGATGTAGCGGTGGACCGCATCACTGCGCCATCTACCCATGATGCGGATGATGTGTTCGGGGACACCTGCCATGGCCGCTGATGTTGCGGCGCCAATCCGGAAAGAGTGACTGGCATATGCACTCGGGTCCGTGACCCCACAGAGTGGCAGCAGGTTGCGCAGTTCAGAGGACACTGCATTTCTTGTAAGCGGCTGGCCATTAGCATAAGTGAACAGATGGTCGCCGCCGGGGCGAAACGCCAGGTAGTTTGCCATGGCCTGCACTGGGCAGATCAGTGCGTCCGTGCTGGCTCCAACCAATACTGTGTGGCCCGTGCTGTTGGAGTCCGTCTTAGATGAGCGCACGTTTACCGATAACGACCGCTGGTCAGTACTGATCGTCACATCACATCGCCTCAGGCCAGCAGTCAGTTCTCCACAACGGAAGAACCCATGAAACGCCAAGGGAAAAGCTGCCCTTAGCATGGCCTTGTCGTGAGGGTGCCGCATGCGTTGAACGGCAACATGCCGGCAGATCTCCCTGAGAAGTGGAGTGGTTATTGGCAGACGATGACGCTGTGTCGATGACGACCTGTCGATGCCCCGCAGGACACTAGCGAGGAGAGTTGTTGGGCCCGACGGGTAAGCAAAGCCAAGTTCCACATGAAGGTTGCGGATTGCCGACATGTAGACACGGACAGATCGAGGCTGAAGAGTCCTGAACAACTCGGCAGCAAAATAGCACAAAGTAAAGTCGTCGCCCGGCAATGGGTTGCAGGCATGCACTTGGCAGAACTGGAAGTAGCGGGTCTCGGCGGTAGAATACGTCCGGCGGGAGGATGGTGCTATTGCCAGTGCTGCTAGCTGTAGCACGGAGTCTGTCAACGGAGAGTTGGCAAGACTGGCTGATCTGGCTCGGCTGCTGCTCTCTCCTCTCAGCCACCGGCCGTTGTAGAAGGCACCATAACCGTGAGTGCCGCTGGCATCAGTCTGTAGTTGCATGTCGGGGGCTGGCGTCCACTCATCCACCAGGAAGAATGACTTCCCATTCCATATGGTCAGGGCCTCTGCCCACCACAACAGGTCTGCCATTGCCAATGCCGAAATGCGTAGCCATTGGTGCAATGGTGTTGATCGAGTTGCTCTGTCCAGGTCGTACAGGCGTCTCAAGAATGTGCGACCAGCTGGTACAGCTCTGGACGCGAACGAGAGTTTGCCCAATACGGAGGCGAGGTCGCGTTTCTGAACCCGGCCGGATTGGACGAGGGCC